ATGAGGCCCATTCAAACAGAATAAAGCTTACTGGGGTTGAGATGCTTTGGTTTATCTAGCAGTGTATTTTGCATACTTCTTCCCCACTTTAAAGAATAAAATTTTCATTCCAATATTTCAGTATTTAAAATAGATTTCACACTGCAGTGTTTTTTACCTCTTCTTTGGGCTTTAAAATAGGGTCAGAGGTTGAGAAGCTTGTAGTTGAAATTCAGACAGAAATTTAGACCCTACTTTATAAGCTTTTGTTTTTGTAACAGTGTTCAAGAGAGGTAGCCCAGAATAATGTATTTTTTTATTGCTAAAGAAAAAGAATAATCGTTATCAGTTTTATACCGATACCTTTGTATTCCAGGGAAATATATTTTTACAAGTCCATGTACATACAAACATAATATGCTAAAAATTCAATTACGGTATTACACTCATGCTTCTGTCTCTCAAAAAATTTAAATGCCATAAATACCATCCCTCAAATTAAAGATAGTATGGTCTACATCCATTGAGTGGTTCTAGGCTTCTGTCTAAAAGAATCAATATCCAGAAGGATAAAAGGTAGAGCTCATCTAGTATCAGGGAGCAAACTATTCCATGGTGAGGGTGACCATTAAGGAAGGCATCTTCTGATACTTGATTTTCCAACATCATCTCCTGGTTAGACTGTGGAAAAGGAGCAGATTCTACCTGGAGAAAACAAATACCTTATTTTTCAGACTATAAGACACACCGGTTATAAGACCCACCAAGATTTCGAAGAGGTAAGCAAGAAAAAAAAGTTTTTGCCCTCCCCAGCCCCCAGGAGCTCTCTGCAGGCCTCCCAAAGCCTCTGCGCGCCCTGTTTTTGCAAAAAATGGACCCATTTTTCACAAAATGGGACCCATGGGGTGGGGCTTTGGGAGGCCAAAAATGGCTGTATTTGGTGTATAAGATGCACCAACATTTCCACCCTCTTTTGGGGTGGGGATGGGGAAGTGTATCTTATACTTTGAAAAGTTTGGTAACATGTTTTTAAGGACATTAACAAACAAGGTCTTAGGAAAAGTGACAGAATGCTGAGAAGTCTAGCTCAATAAATTTAGTCTAAACAAGTAAAGGTTCAAAAGAATTGTGAAAGAAAATTTCAAATATCTGAAGACCAGTAGTGGGTTTCAAATTTTTTTACTACCGGTTCTGTGGGCGTGGCTTGGTGGGCGTGGCATGGCATGGCTTGGTGGGCGTGGCTTGATGGGCATGGCAGGGGAAGGATGCTGCAAAATCCCCATTTCCTCCTGATCAGCTGGGACTTCGGAGGCAGAGAATAGATGGGGCGGGGCCAGTCAGAATTTTTACTACCGGTTCACCGAACTACTCAAAATTTCTGCTATCGGTTCTCCAGAACTGGTCAGAACCTGCTAAAGACTGTCAAAAAAGAAGAATCAAGAAAGCAGAAATAGAAACCAACAGATGAATGTAGCAAGAAAAGCACAGGGGCTTTTTAAACAGAAACTGAATAGCCATTTGTCACTATGGCTGTCAACTTCTCCAACATTGCAGAACCTATAAAGAGCTGTCCATCGTTTTAGCAGATACCTACAGAGCCTTCCTACTCTTTAATTCAATTAGTTACATAGTTATACTCTATGCTTGTCAACCGATCTTCCTGGATTTTAATGTTCTGGTATGGAGTGCAGGGGTGGGTTCTACTTACCTTTACTACCGGTTTGTGGCGGGGCCGCGCACAAGCGCGGAAGCTTCTGCACATGCACAGAAGCGTTTTGATGACATCAGGGTTGGTGGGCGGAGCCTCCCGCCAGTTTTACTACTGGTTCTATAGAACCAGTGCGAACCGGGGGCAACCCACCACTGGTAGAGTATGTGCTAAAATATTCAGTCATTTTCTGTAAGTACGGCCTTTTAAAGCTACAGTATGTATTATTTTATTTTGTGTTTTTAAAATAAAGCAATCACACCAGGAGTCCTTGACTGTGTTGGTTACATATTACAAATCTTGAAAAAAATAAATCATTTTCTATCACAGAACATGAATTGCACAGCAGAAGATAAAATGGAACAAATAAACAATCCCATTTATAATCAATTTACGAAGAAAACAATTCAGTTTATCCCATGGGGGTATGAGTAACTTTTAGAAAAAGCTTGTAATATGCTAACTCCTTCATGTAGCATGAGCTTTTCTATTCTTCTTAATGCTTTTTTTTTTTTGCCATCCCATAAAAATACTTTCAGTTTTTCTTATTTTTCACTAGCACTGCAGGATACCACAGTACTGGATTCCTGAATATGAACCCTTTGTTCTTTTTTCTGTCAGATGTTTCCAGTTACAAAGTTCAACTCTTGGTCTGTTCTCAGACTGCAGAAAAACTAAAATACCGTAATTAAATTCCAGAATTATGAAATAATTGAGTGTTGGGCATAATCTTATTGACATTCTCAGAAAATGTGAAAATCTATATTGAACCTATAGTGAGTGGATATATTGCGAATCAAGGAAATGTGTATTTCCTTTCTCCCAATCTGTAACTTTTTTCTTTTTACATGGCTATTTAATCCACCCCTTTAATAGCTACTTAAATTTTATAAGGGCTTGGAAGTTCAGGCAGAATTAAGATCAGGCAGAATCAAGAGGTGGAACCTGGTATAAAACAGTTACGAAAATTTCGCATATGATTACAGATTGTATGTACTAATAATCTAATATAAGCAGTGAGGAATGTTGTTGTTGTTCTATGTTGTTATTGTTGTGACTCAGAAACCTTCCAATAAGCTCTCTTTGCATCTTGTGCCTCTCTTTGTTTGGGGAAATGCTGCATTCATGTTATGGTATTGTGATTTATAACCTCTGAGCTTCAATCTTGCCACCTCAGTTTTCTCAGTTTTTAGTATAAACAAAAGATTTAAGACACTATTTATCTATTTTTGGTAAATGGGTGAGTGTGGCTTTCAGGGTAGCATAGTCAGACATATATTGGTGGACAACCATTTAGATATGAGCCAGCAGTGTGCAGCAGCTGCCAAAAAAGCCAGCACAGTTCTAGGCTGCATAAACAGAGGGATAGAATCAAGATCACGTGAAGTGTTAATACCACTTTATAATCCCTTAGTAAGGCCATGCTTGGAATACTGCATCCAGTTTTGGTCGCCACAATGTAAAAAAGATGTGGAATCTCTAGAAAGAGTGCAGAGAAGAGCAACAAAGATGACTAGGGGCAGAGGTGGGTTTCACATCATTTTACCACTGGTTTGAGCGGACTGAAAATGTGAGCATGCGCACGTGGAGTATTAGAACTCAAGTGTACAAATCATTGTACTAATTCAGTAGTAGGAGATAGACAGTGCTAATAGGTCTACTATTAATAGCAATTTATTTATTTATTTATTTATTTATTTATTTATTTATTTTTATTTAATGTTTATACTGCCCTTCTCCTGAAGGACTCAGGGTGGTGCACAGCCAAAAATAAAATAAAAAACACATATAAAATTTAAAACAGTTTAAAAGGAATTAAATAATTTGGCCCATTTCAATTAAGACAAAGACAACCCATATAACTTAAAATTGATCTTGGTATTCAGGCCAGCCCAGCTTGTTGAAACAACAGCATCTTGAGGGCATGACAAAAGGTGCGTAGGTCAGGGATCATCTGTAAATCCCAGGGCAATTCGTTCCAAAGGGCAGGTGCCCCCACAGAGAAGGATCTCCCCCTGGGAGTCGCCAGTCGACATAGTTTGACCGACGGCACCCTGAGGAGTCCCTCTCTGTGGGAACGTACTGGCTGGTGGGAGGCTATCGGTAGCAGAACGCGATCTCGTAAGTACCCAGGTCCTAAGCCATGGAGCGCTCTGAAGATAGTAACCAACACCTTGAATCACACCCAGAAGATCACCGGGAGCCAGTGCAGCTCGTGCAGGAGAGGTGTTACATGGGAGCGCCATGTCGTTCCCATAATCACCCGCGCGGCCGCATTCTGGACCAGTTGGAGCCTCCGGGTGCTCTTCAAGGGGAGCCCCATGTATAGAGCATTACAGTAGTTCAGGCAGAAAGCAATGAGGGCGTGAGTGACCGTGTGTAGGGAGTACCAATTCAAAAAGGGCCGCAACTGGCGGATCAGGCGAACCTGATAAAAAGCCCCCCTGGCCACGGCCGTCACATGCTCTTTTAGACCTTATAGATCTACCAATTATAGACCTACCAATGCCAGTAATACAGGAATGAAACATAGAAAAGGAAAAACATTATTGTTCAATAATATATTGCATCCAAAGCAAAGATAGGACAGAATTCGTGTCATTTCCATAGTGCTATTGTTATACATGCTTTTAAATATTACTGGCTTTTGATAAAAATGTCACATGTTCAGCCTTTCAACTATTTCAGATCGTAACAATAATTTATTTTTGTTCTTTTTCTTTTATTCCTTTGTTAACCATAACATAAAATCCATAGATTCATTAAAATTACAATTCACCATTAACATTATTTTAGAAGTTCATTAATATTCCAGTTCAGGCTGTTTACACTAAAGCGTAATTTACGTATCAGACAGAGTACAGTATTGAATAGATACTAGGGATCTGATTATGTACGCTTCCAGGTTTACTAGCATTAGCACTACAAATCAAAAGATACTATATAGGGGAATGAGAAAACATGGAGGGTCGTATAAGCCTCCATATATAATTCCAAATCGTGCAAATTGCAAAATTAAAAATTCATTTAGAAGTACTATGGAGAAGTAAATCTGATATCTTATGCTGCTTTGGAACTCAGCTGCTGACTTAGACCATATCAACATAGCCTAATATGTGTATAGAATTCGTGTGAATTCTTTCTTGTTTTTAAGAACCTCAGTCCTCAACATCCAAAATGTCCTCTAACTTTCTGCAAAACTATCTTGCTTTGCTTTGCCACACCTTCAACAACATACAATAACAAAATACAACAGCAGAAGCATGAACAATATTATATCACTCTGATTCCTCTACGTTTTTTCCCATTGCAGGAAAGCTTGGCTGACCAGCGTTGGAAGTCCTAGTTCACGCATTGACCGGACAAATTTTTCTAATGAAAAGGAAATCTCAAAACTTGAATTCTCTGGATTCATCACCAGATACTAAAAAACCAAATCATAGAATTACCTTATTTCTCCAATTGCATCAAAATTTCTGTGTCTCCCTAAAGCAAATTAGGAAAATGCGACAATGATCATATTTACATTCTGGCCAAATGTTTATATGGTGTATTAAGGCAAAGAAAAGTATCACTTGGTTAAACTTCTTTTTCTTTACAAATACTTTATAAACCCCTGGTTAAGGCCACCTCTACCAATTTGGGTATTATTAGACATGCTGTTTTGCTATCATGTGCATGTTTACTTGGAAGTGACTCCTTCTGAATCCAACAGGTAATTATACTGTATATATGCCTGCATCTTTAAGGATCTGTCCCAAATATAAGGGTGGAATGATCTACATTTTAAAACTAATATATATGACTGCATTCGATGAAATAATTTATTAAATCTTAAATATTTAATTCTAGACATTCTAAACCAAAATGTTTTATAACAAATTAAAACAATTTTTAAAACCTTATCTAGTTCTCTGGCCAATGAGCGTTCCTTTCCCTACAGTATTTCAATCAGAAGCTATCTGTCATCATTATTCCTAGTTGGAAAATACCAAATGTGTCACATTAAATTTTGAAAAGAATGGTGGTGGTATTTTTGCACATGAGGTAACTGTGCTGAAATAAATTTTGAGTGCCATAAAAGTAGTTTAACTCTTGTCTGGAGCTACTTCCTCCATGTTGCTCCACTCCTTGTTTCTTCTGTTTTCATCTTGGGACCGCCCATACAATGGGGAAGGGGGAGATTCCATGCCCTTGGCCTTCTTACTAATGTTTTATTTTATTTTTATTGACCTTCCTCTCTTTGCCTCACTGTTGTATTGAGATAAAGCAAAGCAGAAGAGCAGATGGTCAGCGTAATCTGAAATCAAGAAACGGCTTCTTGCAGAGGTGTGAGCTCTGACAAGTGGCCGTGATACCGACCTCTGACGTCCCCCAGCTTAGGAAATACTAAAATGTGTCCAATGAAAGGAAAATAACATCTGAGAACATTATTTTTTGAGCATATGTGATCCAAGTGAGAAGAGTTTTTTCGGGTTGCTTCTGTGAGTTATTCTCAGCGTGCTAATGGAAAAAAAGATGGATATTTATTTCTACAGAGATGAAAGGAACATTTTCCATGGCATTGTATATGATCATTGACTCTAGGTTTGCTCCTTCAAATATCAAAGCAGAATAGGATAACAATGGACCTTCTATTTTCACTTGTGCCAACAATATTGGCAAACTGCAAATATGCAAAACTACTGACATTTATATGTATCATCTAAGCAGGCATTCCCAGGAAACTATTGATCTGAGTCATTAATAAAGCATGAATTCATTGCTGATTCAAACGGGCACTTGAAAAGGCCTACCATGTGTATGAAAAAGAGTATTTTTTTCCACAACCAGATTAATTTTCATTGGATCTTTTATTCAAGTTCTTGCCTGCTTAGTAAGTTGTTATAATTCCAAACACACACGGCTTTTGTGATCATCTACAAACATCCTTTGTTAAACTCCTTAAGGACAACCCTTGTAAATCTGAAATACAAAATGGCAAAGATCAAGTGTAGGCCTTGTTCATTCGCCAGAATATCTTTCTGATGGGAACCAGTCTGTATTTTCTTTCGGGCCATAATGAATATGAACAATAATTCTCAAAAAAGGTTTTTTGCCCATACTCTGTTGCTTAGTATGTTAAGGAAATAAAAAGATAATGTAAGACTTGTCCAAAATCCCATAGGTATCTCTGTGTTTCAAATGTTAGGTGTTTCAAATGTTAGGTAAAACACACAGGAAAATTATTTTATGGATCTCATTTTTTTTGCTTGTCATGTTTGTATATTTAAACCCATTCCCTATCTGAGCAAACTTTCAAAACTGATGAATCAGAAATTCTAGTACAACATCTCCCTGTATAATATACTGACTTCCATCCAGTATAACCAGAGTGAGCAATATGTGGAAAGCTGCTTTCCTGATGCTAAAAGGTTTTCAGAAAATATGGTCAGGGGATCAGTGGAGTAAATCTTTCTAAACTGATGTGAAGTGCTAGAATATCATGGAAGCTAATTTTCACCAAAATTAATGGGTAGTAATATAGGAAATCAATATATGATTCAGGAAAAAAAGCAGGAGGCATAGACCAACATCCAGAACAGCAATGGATCCATTCAGAACATTCAAGCAGAAATGGATGAAAACTGTCAATGCCGTACATCTAGCAGCCCAGGGCATATGCCAAAACATTTTACCAATGAAATACTGTAGTTCATATTCATTAAGAGTGTATTCATTGGAGTGGTAAATGAGTTGGACACTCACTCAGTTTTTATGAATGAGTTCATTCTTGTTTAATTAAATATAGGATAAAACTCTTAGAGGAGTAAGGTCAACAGCTTACTTGTTGGATCCTTACTTGTTGTGAATTGTGATAAAAATCTGCCACAAAGAAACTAGACAATATAGGAGGTAGGTGTTTTCTTCAGGGATGGATAATTCGATCTTAAGGTTCTAGATGTCTATTGAATACAGCATTCAATAAAAGAATTTTCCAAATAATATCTTAGAATCATTAGTAACAATTAAATCCCAAGCTTTATTTGATAATGAAGATTAATTGGACCCTTTCAGTGTTAATTTGAGATTGGATGAAGAAATATAAATAGCCTGAGTGGCACTGGTGGGTGACTTATACTGGGGATTAATTAAGGAGAATTCCCTTTTGTTTCTGTTGGATCTCTCAGCATCATTCAATACTGTCAAGGAAGAATGATTTTGCACTGGTTCCTTGTAATCTCTGCAGAAGTAGAGTGTGTCATTCCTCTTTTCACTTTTTTTAAAAAAAACAAACTCCCCAACAAATTTGTCTCTATTTTTTTTAACATTTAATATATATAAAAATAACTCTTTGTGTCTCTCTGATAACTGAAACACACCCCGAAACAATTTTATTTATTTATTTATTTATTTGTTTGTTTGTTTGTTGAATTTATATTGCCGCCTATTCGCCCATGGCGACTCAAGGCAGCTTAAAGAATATAAAACCACATTTAAAACAATAAAAACTAACAAAAAGAATCAAATAAATTAATATAGTACAATACAACAAAATCACCCCCCCACCTCCCGCCTTGGTGACAGCAGATCACACGAACCATTTAATGGGCTCCATCCCACTCTGGGTTCCCCAGGCCCGCTGGCAGAACCGGGTCTTCAGCGCCTTCCGGAAGAGTATTAGAGTGGGGGCCATTCTAATCTCTGGGGGAATGATGTTCCAGAGAGAGGGAGCCACCATGGAGAAGGCCCTTCTTCTGGGTTCTACCAGGTGTATCTCCCTGCCTCCCCGCTCTGATGAATCGGGTAGATGTGACCGGCAAGAGATGGTCCCTCAGATAACCTGGTCCCAAGCCATGAAGGGCTTTAAAGGTGAGAGGCAGCACCTTAAATTACACCCAGAAGCAAATCGGTAACCAATGCAGCTCCTGCAGGAGAGGTGATACATGTGTGCACGGGGGTCTGCAGAAAACCATGCGGGCTGCTGAATTTTGCACCAACTGGAGCTTCCGGAGGCTCTTCAAGGGCAGCCCCATGTAGAGCGCATTGCAATAATCAAGATGGCAAGTGACTAGGGCATGAGTGATTGTGAGTAGGGACTGTTGGTCCAGGAAAAGGTGTAACTGGTGCACAACCCGCAGTTGCGCAAAGGCCCTCCTGGCCATGAGTGTAGGAAAACCCCTAGATTATGCACAGGGTCTGTTTGGGGTAGTGCCACCCCATCCAAGACCAAAGGTGGCAATTTTCCCTGAGCCAACGAACCCCAAACCCAGAGCCACTCAGTGTTCTAAAGGTTTAGTTTCAACCCGTTGTGCCCTATCCAGCCCCTAACAGCCTCTAGGCACTGCGAGAGGGAAGACACAGCATCACTTAACTCACCACGGGTCAAGACATATAGCTAAGTATCATCAGCATTTGGTGATACCTCAGTCCATGGTGACGGATAATGTCACCCAGTGGCTTCATATAAATGTTGAACAGGAGCAGAGACAGTACCGATCCCTGAAGAACCCTGTAAAGCAGTGGGCGAGGGCTGGATCTCTCCCCTCCTATCAACACTCACTGAAAGCGGCCGTGCAGGAAGGAAGTGAACCAGGATAGCACAAGGCCTCCCACTCCCATCCCCTGAAGCTGCCCCAGGAGAATACCATGGTCAATGGTATCGAAAGCCACCGAGAGGTCAAGTAGAGCAAGAATGGATGCACTACCCCCATCCCGCTCCCTCCAGAGATCATCCAAAAGTGCGACCAATGCCATGTCTATCCCAAATCCAGGCCTGGATTCTGATTGGTAGTGGTCGAGATAACCAGTTTCATCCAGAAACCTCTGGAGCTGCCGCATGACCACCTTCTCAACAACCTTCCCCCAAAAGGGAACATTGGAGACAGATCAGAAATTATCCAACTATCTATATTATGTAATACCCATTATCCAACTAACTTTATTATCCAATTATCCAAAATTATCCAAGATAATTTTGCCCAATACTATAATTTAAATATGGCTTCCAATACACCAGTGTTTCTTAACCTTAGCTACTTTAATATTTATGGATATCGACTCCTATTTAAGCTGGAGATTTCTGGGAGTAGAAGTCCACACATCTTAAAATTATCAAGGTTAGGAAACAGTGCTAAACATGATAGAGAAAAACAATCACTTGTAATTTATTAGAACATGCTAGATTTACAGGGAATGGGGACCGGGAGAGAAAGGAAGCCACTATTCAGCTATGAGGTCTACCAGGTATCAGCTGCTGTTGCAGCCTCATTTCTGCCCAGCTTCTCTACATGATTGATCTCCACTGCTGAAAACAACTTCACAGTGGTTGCTTCAGGCAATGGACTGACTCCACCCATCCAGGCTAGCAATTGTAGATGCATCTGTTATATGTTGAAAAAGTTGCCTTGATGTCAAGTTAAAATCTTAAATAGAATATAAATGATAAAATGAACAAACACATAAAAAACTTTAAGCGCATGCTAGAATTTATTATTTATTTGTATCTCACCTTTATTATTTTAGAAATAACTCAAGCTGGCAAACATACCCAACACACCTTTTATTATAAGCAGAAATGAATGTCTGCATTTAAAATGTTTTAATTTTGCTTTTAATAATTTTTTTTCCAAATTATTAAACTTTCGGTACAGTGAAGTACAGGTTAAAGGAAAACTTCTAAAAAAGTGAAAACAGAAGTAGCCAATTATGCAGTTAAACTTAGAAAAATAACATTTGTCATCACAATTTTCAGCTACTGCTAAAAGCATAAAATTAAACCCTGGCTACATTTCTGTTGAGCAAAGATTCCACAGCAGTGACACCTTCATTGTAAAATCCCATCAATCAGCCTTTTCTCTCTTGAAAAAATGGTAACATCCAGGTGAAGGTATTAAACAGTTAGATCCATGGGAGTGCGGGGAGTATGAAATAATATTCAACATTATTGTCAGTCATATAAAGCTGCATTGGAAAAAAAGCTTGTATAAATAAAACTACATAATTTCCTTTAATCAGAATTGCAATGCTGTATGCAAGCAATATAATAGTAAGTATAGGGTAATTATTGAAATATTGAAACAATATAATGTATCAAGATTTATAACAATATAATAAAAAGGAAAAAGAGGCTAGGGCTTCAATTGTATGGCTATAGTCACCATCTTAACTTTTTAAACTACCTGATGCCTTTATTATGGAGCTCTCACCTATAGTTTTAAGATCACTCAGCTGTACTAATACTGACATTGTAGAAATAGTGTAATAAGATTAAGTCTTGTTCTAGAATATTATGGACAATAATATTATAAATAATAAATTATACTGCTTTGATTTGTAATACAGGTGAGCAAGCTTTATTGTGTTGACTATTGTATTTAATTAAACATTCATTTATCTAATGATGCCAAATGCATTAGCACACATTAAAGGCAAAACTTTTACATGACAGAGATGTCCTAATGTCTTTAATGGTGCTTTAGAATAAATAACCCAACTGAATAATACCACCAGGATTCAATGACTTCAGCAATCTGTCTCCAGCATTGCCTAGCCACAATAGGCAAGTCATGTATAGAGTCAACAGCTTCCCATTACTGAAGCATCTGCTTCCAAAGAAGAAAACCATGTTGTGATCATGGGTAATAACTGAATATTGATGGAATTAACCTACACAAGTCTATCAAGCCCAACCTCCGCCAACCTGGTGTTTTGCAGAATTACTATTTGCAGATTATTTAGCTAGAAAATTCTGCAATCTGTTAGAGAATCTGCAATCTGTTTCACATATCTGGAAAACAGCTGATAGAAAAATAAACTAGTTTAACCTTCCTTTCAAAACATGTAGCCATAGTTTTGTACTTTCCCTTGGGTAATCTGAATTTTGAAATCAAGTACCCATCATTAAAATTTTAAAATCTAGCACCCATCAATTCTACTTTTTAAGAAATGGAGAAATGGACAGAACAGTCAATCTGCTAATTTTGTTGGACTGCAACAGAATAGCTTGCCTGGATTTTAAAAAGGAATTAGCTTTGGATAGTGAGAACAAATGTATGTATTCTCACATAGATTACATCATCTACATTCTAGATCAGGGGTGTCAAACTCCCAGCCTGTGGGCCGGATGCATCACATGCTGGCTCCACCGTGCCCAGTTTAGCAAAGGGGGAAAAAGTCCCGATACGTCATGTGACGCCGCAGTGACAATGCAAGTTTGACACCCGTGTTCTAGATGATGTATTTAGCAAAGATGCAATGAGACTTCAGCTTAACTGTGATAAATAGGGCATAGCATCCTATTCTCTTTGCAAGCGCTATCACCTTTAAAGCGCTCCAAGGCTTAGGGCCGGGGTACTTATGGGACCACCTTCTGTCACCAATTGCCTCCCACCGGCCAGTTCGCTCCCACAGAGAGGGCCTCCTCAGGGTGCCGTCGGCCAGACAATGTCGGCTGGCGACCCCCAGGGAGAGAGGCTTCTCTGTGATGGCGCCTACCCTCTGGAACAATCTACCCCCAGAGATACGAGTGATCCCAGACCTCCGGACTTTTCATCGGGCCCTTAAAACCTACTTTTTTCAGTTAGCCGGGCTGTCCTGATTTTATGGTTGGTTTTAAATTTGATATTGATTTTAATTGAAATGTTTTAAATTATGGGCCAAATTTTATTTAATTATTTTAAATCTATTTTAACTTTTGTGTATGAATGTTTTATATTTAGCTGTTCACCGCCCTGAGTCCGGTAGGAGAAGGGCGGTATAGAAATCTGAAAAATAAAATAAATAAATAAAATAAAATATTGTCCATTGTGGGAGCTCATAGCACCTCTGTCATCTTTTTGCCAACAAACCTGATAACTAGGCTAGAATTTAGCTCACCAGCCTCCACTTGCTGCCCCTGGATTATCTAACTGGTTTAAATCTTGTACTCAGTGTTATTTGCAAATTTCATAACTACAAACCATTGCACATTAACCTTTAATCCAATGGTTTATAAAGAAATGGATTCTGAAGACTATACATCTCATAAACAAATAAGCATATGTTCTCTAAAGGTAAAGGTACAGGTAAAGGTTTCCCCTGTCCAGTCATTTTTGACTCTAGAGGGCTGTGCTCATCTCCATTTCTTAGCCGAGGGAGCCAACGTCATCTGAAGATAGCTCTATGGTCATGTGGTCCCCATGACTATACGCCCAGGTGCACAGAACACTGTTATCTTCCCACCAAACTGATACCTATTTATTTACTTGCATTTTCATGCTTCCAAATTGCTAGGTGCGCAGGAAATATGTTACCTATTTTCATAAGTTTTCATAAAATAGAGAACATATTTTATATTTTCTACTTTTCCACTATTTTGTTGCTTATGCTAATCATAAAAGTGTGGCTATGTGCTACTAGCACCTGACATTCAGGAATCCTATTCAAGGCTGAAACCATATAGACTGGGTATTTAAAGCCTAGAATCACATGAAATTCAAGGCACCGTGGCCCATTGTACTATATTCACCGTATATATTTTACCTTTCCTGGAGAAATGTCAGAAGACACACTTCATTTTTGATAAGGCTGCATTAATGCAGTTAAAAACCTTGTGCTTTGATGATACCAATTTCTCACCCCGTATAAAATTTGGCTGTTTCAAGTAACCAACTGTAGCAGACCTACAGTATAATATTTTCTGAAATGAAAAAGCCATGATTCTAATTGAAGGCCAGCAGAGCACTTAAAACCACTCCCAGGTGGCTGTTCCCACACACAAATTTAGCTGTTATGTGTACTGTTATAAATATATAAATAGAACCCAGAGTAGGAAAAAAAGTGCTATTTTTGATAACCTTGAAAGAAGTAAAATTTTACATACAGTTAAAATAGGTTCAGTACTCACCACTTCCTCGCCACTATTCCACAAAAATTGCATTCCTGTAATTCTGTTTTATATTTAAAAGAAAAAATAAAAGTGATGGTTTCATGACATTAGTAGTTCCATAAAATACACCTTTTAATAACAATGTTTTTGATAATAAATGATAATCCATCAGAAAACAATTAGATTAGAAACTCTCTATTAAATCTATTTATCCTAAATCACAAATCTTGTTTACAAAAACAGCATAAAATAGGTTTGTAAAGGCCTAAAGACATTTAGTAGTCTTCCAAAACACCAGCCTTTCTGTCTTTCTCATCCCATTTCAACATGTGCCCGGAATTGATCAAGGCTATTTTTACTATTTACAGATCTATTTAGACATCAAGTGATAGGTGTCCAGCAATGCCTATGGCTGTAAATCTAGGACTCACAGATAACATCAGCCAGTGAAAGTTGTTTTTAATTCAATAGCTGATCACAGACAATTATTAGCTACTCAGAGCTCTTTTCTTCTAATTTCAAATTTGTCAATAACTACGTCCTCATCCTATTCATAACCCCCAGGCTCCTCTGGATTTGTGCCTAAACAAACAACTGGTTTTTGTTACAGGAGAAATAGAAATATTTTAGCATTCCTCTTCTTCTTCTATTTGCCTATACACATGTCCATGAACATTTGTCCATTGTTACACAACATCTCCACCCCAAACCACCCCAACGATGCCCTTGAAGTGATGTCCCAGTGTCTGGAGGCCGTGCGGGTCTGGATGGGGAGGAACAGGCTTCGACTCAACCCTTCCAAGACCGAGTGGCTGTGGATGCCGGCATCCTGATATAGCCAGCTGGCGCCATCACTGGCTATTGGGGGCGAGTCATTGACCCCCACAGAGGAGGCTCGCAACTTGGGCGTCCTCCTGGACACACGGCTGTCTTTAGAAGAGCATATGACGGCCATGGCCAGGGGGGCTTTTTATCAGGTTCGCCTGATACGCCAGTTGCGCCCCTTTCTGATTCGGGATTCCTTATGCACAGTCACTCATGCTCTCGTCACTTCTTGCCTGGACTATGCTAACGCTCTCTACATGGGGCTCCCCTTGAGGAGCACCCAGAGGCTCCAACTGGTCCAGAATGCGGCCGCGCGGGTGATCACGGGAGCGACATGGCGCTCCCATATAACACCTCTCCTGCGCGAGCTGCACTGGCTCCCGGTGGTCTTCCAGGTGCGCTTCAAGGTGTTGGTTCTCACCTTTAAAGCGCTCCATGGCTTAGGGCCAGGGTATTTACGAGACCGCCTGCTGCTACCGATAACCTCCCACCGGCCAATATGCTCTCACAGAGAGGGCCTCCTCAGGGTGCCGTCGGTCAAGCAATGTCGGCTGGCGGCCCCCAGGGGGAGAGCCTTCTCTGTGGGAGCACCCGCCCTCTGGAATGAGCTACCTCCCAGAATACGGCTGATTCCGGATCTCCGCACTTTCCGTAAGGCCCTGAAGACATTTTTATTTCAGCAAGCCGGCCTGGCCTGAATAGGTTTTAGGGGTTTTTTAATTGTATTGCTAGGGGTTTTAAATTGGGGCAGCCGTTTAATTTAATTTATTTTTAATTATTTTAACTTTTATATTGTATGTTATTTTAATTCTCGGCTGTTCACCGCCCTGAGTCCCTTCGGGGAGAAGGGCGGGATATAAATTTAATAAATAAATAAATAAATAAATAAATAAATAAATAAAACATCCCACTGGCAATTTGGGAGCAGGTGTATGAAAGGAGGTTGATAATTTAAAAATATGCAAACTGTACTGAAAATCCTAATTACTTAATTATCTGTTACATTTATTACTTGTCTTTCTTCTAGGAGCTCCAGATGGTGTATATATCATTTCTCCTCTAACTTTTGCCCACAATATCATGGAGAATTCTGGTTAGGAGGCAGCCCAAAATAATCAAATGAGCTTCTATTGTTTTGGTAGATTTCTACTTTGGGTCCCGCTAGTCCTACTTTGGGGGAAAAAACAACCCAAAACCTCTTGCAATTTCTTTTCTTTAAGATGATATTTAGGAAAGGCTATCAGTTTTATAGACAATGAGAGTGGGGTTTTGTTGGGATATTGTGTAGGTTAGATAGTTGGATGAGAGTTGCTTGAAGAGACTCTACCAACCGGGAATGAAGAACATAACAAAGGGAGACGATTCTGAAACAATTAAATGTGGATGAGGCCTGGTACATGAAGGGTTTTAATTGCTGTATGTGACTGAGCAGTAGGAATAACTGAAGAACAGGAGAAAGAATTGCAACCAAGATAATGGTCAGATAAAAGAAACTTGAGTCCAAAGCAGAATTGTAATTTGAGAAAATGTCTCTGACTTGAGCCTCCCTAGGAGAGGCACATTCAGATTTTCAAGATTCTGTGCTTGTTACCCTATAATAAAAGTAGTATTAGCATTCATAGTTTTGGTTTTCCAGTTAGGTTTACCACGAAGGACTGAGAATCCTTGACTGCCAGTTATTTCTAAATAGGCAGGTATCCTATTCCAGGCCAAGGACACACAAATACACAAAGGTATGGTTTTGTTCTTTTTACTAAAGGAGGCTTGCAAACGCACACACTTACAATATAGAGGTAAGTTCTCCCAAAACTTCAGCTAGTTTGGCTTACAAGTGTTCCAAATCAACGTGGTACATAGGAAGAATGTTAGGTGAAGTCCAAGGGTCAAGCTTGTGGTAGATTCATCAGCCAACCCAGATTCAGAGTCAGGGTTGCAAGGTTTACAAGTTAAGGCACATTGAGTGGGAATTAACTGGTGGTTTCTTGTCAACAGGGAGCTTGTGCTTGCTGCTCCATTTTAATAGAAATGGCCCTCGTGTAGTTCATTTAGCAGAGCAAGATTCCTTCCATGCAAGCAGTCTCACAGAGCGCCTTTGTTCTACTCTCTTTGCTGTTGAGGCTGTTGAGCTCTTGCATTGGGAGGGAGGAGGCAGTAATTCCATGCCCTCATCTTCAGAGGGCAATGGGAGCTGTGGCTGCTGCCTGCAGTTTTGCCCTACCTCCTTTGGCTACTCAGATGGTGCTGGTGCTGATAAGCACTTAGACTTATATACCACTTCACAGTGCTTTGTTCTCTGTTCAGTGGGGTGGGAGCAGCACTGGTGTGAGAATATATTACAACCAACCTAGTGCCAGGATTCTATTGTTGGCTGGAGGATCTCTTAATAGTTGCTGCTAGCTGGCTGGGGAATTCTGGGGGCTGAAATCCACACATCCTAAAGGTGCAAAGTTTGGAAAGCACTAAGATGGATCTTTAAGCACTGGTTGAAATTCTCAATAACAGTTTACCCAGAGGTGATATTCAGCAGGTTCTGACCAGTTCTGGAGAACCGGTAGCAGAAGCTTTGAGTAGTTTGGAGAACCGGTAAATACCACCTCTGACTGGCCCCACCCCCATCTATTCTCTGCCTCCCAAGTCCCAGCTGATTGGGAGGAAATGGGGATTTTGTAGTAACCTTCCCCTGGAGTGGGAAGGGAATGGAGATTTTATAGTATCCTTCCCCTGCCATGCCTACCAAGCCACGGCCACCAAGCCACACCCACAGAACCGGTAGTAAAAAAAATTGAATCGCACCACTGAGTTTACCTATTATCAGCCTTACTTGTCTTGTTTTGCACTAGTTGAAAATTCTGGGCAGTCCTTAAATATGGCCTCATTTATTTATTTTAATAAATTGTTTAGCCACTTATCATAAAACAAACTATGGGCAGCTTATAATCAAAAACAAAACCACATTTACATGATAAAAACAATAAACCCAGTGACCAAAAAAAAAAAAAAAAGCCCATAGAAAAACTTGGCATTTCAGTTATCCTTTCCTTTTTTTAAAAAAAATAATCTTTATTTACATTTTCCATTAAAAAAGAAAGACAACACATCATATAAATAACAAACAAGACAACACAACAACAACAAAAAAATCAAGCATACCTATATGTAGTACCTTAATAACCTAATATTCGGTACTGTATATCTATATTATATTCCGGAGAAGACAGAACAACTTGTATACCTTTACATATCAATTAGGTCTATCCGACCTCACTTTACTTGTATAGTATAAGTTTCTCAATAGATACAATTCCTCATCTAGTTTGGGCTATAATTTCCTCTTCTCTAACCAAGATAAACATGTTTGTGTTTGGTCTCTGTCTTTTAGTTTTTAGTCAATTTATCTGCTTCCGCACATTCTAAAATCTTCTTTATAATTGCCTCCTCTGATGGGGTAATTTGATTTTTCCAAAGTTGAGCATACGCCAATCTCGCCACTGTGATAATGTGTAATGCAAGATACCATGAGTCTCTTTTAATATTTTCCAGCTTGGAAAATATTAGTATTATTAGAAAATATCAGTTATCCTTTCCTGATGCAATTTACACATTCTTTCTAACCTCACCCCATGTAGAAAGCATTGCAGCAGTCAGGTTGCAACAATGAGCAACAATTGACCGTGCTTAGAACTGCCCCACATTTGCATGAATGGTGCAATATTGTTTGAACACTGGAAAATGAGTTTTCTATTGCTCCATAATGTAAAATAAATCATAATTATGTTTAGTTCAGAGTATGTGTGGAATAAAAGCATAATTATGTCTAAGCAAAATGAACCCAGATACTGAGATTTCTTTTAATTCAAGTCTAGCAAAGATTTATGAGGCTTTCTGATGTCACTGACCTTTTTATAGCTCAGGCAAGTACTCGGCAATCTTTACCCTGCTTAGTAGTCTTCTAACATCTAAAGGAAGAATCAAATTCATTTAAAGATAGCTCAGAGACAAAAAGTATTCATATTTATTTTTATCATTCTTCTGACTACAAGGCTACTTATAGCTGTTGTTGTGACAAATACATATAATTAACTCCATATTTCCATTATACATTGAGAATGCCTTCTCAGTGGATTTTCTAGATTTCTCATATGATAACATGATAAATATGTTCCCTAAGAGCAGAACACTAAAGAGGATCCCTGTAACCAGGCATGCAGAAAGGAGAGAGAGATTACCTAGGCAAGAAAAAATAGTAACGATGTTCTAGGGCAGGGGACATAAATTGTCCCCTGCCCAGGACATAAATTGATACCAGGCCATACAGTTGGAGGTGAGCAGCAGGTGAGCAAGAAAAACCTCCATCCCGGTCTGTGGAAAAATTGTCTTCCACAAAACTGGTCTCTGGTGTCCGAAAAGTTGAGGGTCTCTGTTCTGGGGATTAAAAACAGACTCTGAAGACAGACATTGTTTAGGACCACAGAGTTGGGAAGGCTGTTTAGTCTATCAGGTCAACTGCTTGCTCAATGCAAAATCCCAAGGTAAAACATCTCTGAGAAACGTCAATTCAATCTGGTTGTCCCAAATATGCTTTTTCAAAGGCAACTGGATTTTTGTTGTTTTTCCTTGAAGACGTTTTGCTTCTCATCAGAGAAGTTTCATCAGTTCAATCAGAAAAAAGCATCTTTGAGACAACCATGACCTGGACGACGGAGAATCTTCAAAGACATTCAAACTCCTTGAATATATCCAATGAGGCTTATACTCCTTTAAATATCAAGAGCCTTTGCCAAACTAATTTTGTTGTTGAAAAAAATTCTAATGTTCATTCGGAATGTGCAATGCTGTGGTTTAAATCCAGTGGTCAATGCCTGGAATGCACTACCTGACTCTAATGTTACATCCTCAAACCCCCAAAACTTTAACCTTAAACTGTCTACCGTGGACCTCACCCCATTCCTAAGAGTGTTAAGCTACAACAAAAGGAGAGGGTAGCAAAAATTCAGAACAGCAAGGACCAATTTCTCACTGAGTATGGGGAATTGGACCAATGTCCTTTCCAACTCTTACGATTTTATAAATAAGTAAACTAAGGCAGACTTATTTGCTTATGAATTAGCAGATAAGATTTGTATCCCATCTTTTCTAAAATCAGCACTCTTGATAAACTGTTGAAAACAATTAAAACCCAACTTTGTCATAAAACCCAAAAGCAGATCTATTGAATGCAATAAAACAAGCATTTATGAAAAAGCAAATCTTTTATCTGTGATAGAGCACATACTTCGCCTGCAAAGGTCTCAATTGTCATGGTAAACCTGAGGAAATCCCACCCAAAACACTGGAAACCATTGTTAGTTGATACAGAAACCATGCTGCGTCAAATTGGTTGGTTAGTTTATATTCAGCATTCTCCTCTGGTGAACAGACAAGATGCTTCCTAAGCCATGACCTGCAAAAGTACATCACTGGGAAGTTCCCAGTCTCCTGCACTGGTGGATAATTTAAGATATTGAGAGTATGTTGGGCAGATGCCCCAAATGGTACAGAAAACTAAGTCCACCATTTGCAGTATGGAGAATAAACAGCAAAGCACAGAATTACTCAAATATTATCTGCCATCTAAGAGAGCTCCAGGCAAGCTTGGAAGGTAAGCAGGGTGAAGCATAGTTAATATTTGGATGAGATTCCTTGAAGGGCTGTAGGGTAAACTGGAAAGTTTAAAAAATCTGATTTGGTGGAATTTTAAGGTTTAAAGTTTATTAAAATATACAATCTTATACCAAACACCGAACATTTTAAAAAAATGCATAACAAACATATTTCTTAAAATGGTAGAAAGCAATAGGAAGCTACTTCTGCACTGCTGGAGAAAAAAAACCCTTGCAGGAATCTGTTCACAAAGTTACTAGGAGTTGAACAAAACTTAAAGAAGACGTCATTTTTTTACACACAGCCAAATAAAATGCCAAGGTGCAGCCACCCATTATTTTATTTTTATTGGGCCCATTTGGGGACAAGAGAAATTCTGGAAAATAAAGAGGTTGGAGGCAGGCATTTTGCCTCAAAGCATGTCAGCTTATTTTTATTTTTTTTAATTCAAACATTTATCTTTTAAATGTAAAAAATGCAGAACAGGCTTGAGAGGCATGCAGGGAGATTAAGGCCGCTGAAGCCTCTTACTGGAGCCAGAGAGATATAGCAATTACCGGTATATCTATTAAAAAGTGTACTATGTAGGCATATATATATATAGAGAGAGAGATATATAGATATGTTGCAGGAAAACCACGGTGAATATTATTTTACTCCCACTACTAACAATACATGCCACTGTGCTGTCTGTTACACTGCAGTTCTGTCTTGAGCTGTTCAGAAATTAGTTTCATAAAGTTTAATGTTGAATGGGGGAGCTGACACTCAAAACAGTTGGGTATTCCTTTTCTCCTTCAACCACATGGCACTATTCAAACTTGGCCAAGGTAGGTTGTCTGTTGCTTAGACTCCGCCCTTTACATTCTTTCTCTGCCTCCCATTGGGCCTTGGTCACTAAGCAACCTCTCAACATTAAAGCTTGGGGCTACAATTTGAAACTACAGGCCCTGCCATTCTGCAGGGAGCTGTATATTGGATCCTTTTCTCCCAGTTCTCTCTCTCTCCCCCATCCTGTTGGGCCACCCTCATGAATCAGTTGATAGAGACCAGATTTAGTCGGCGGAAAAGAGGACCTCTGCATCAATAGTAAGTGTTCTGATTTGGGTCTTCCAGAAGTGCCCCCCATGAGTGAGTTGTGGGTTGTGTGGTGTCTCTGCCTCAAAACATAGTGTTCTTAAAAAATAATGATCTTTATCCTGGTTTGTGGGAACCTATTCTTCTCCAAGCTTTATAGGGTTTGGAGACAAGCAGCTGAACGCAATTTATTGCTTTATCAGACAAACCAAACACAGCAGCATATTTTGGTGGTAAAAGGAAACCAAGTGACTTGGTGGCACAGCGGACTAAAGTGCTGTTAAGTAGCACTTAGCTGCCAGCTGCCTGCAATTACTGCAAGTTCAAATCTCACCAGGCTCAAGGTTGAGTCAGCCTTCCATCCTTCCGAGATAGGTAAAATGAGGACCCGGATTGTGGGGGCAATAAACTGACTTTGTATAAAAAAGAACACTGCTTGGAGGGTGGGGGGGAAGCCCTACTAAGCAGGTATATACAAAAGTATGAAGGCTGTTGCTTAACGCATTGTAAGCCGCCCTGAGTCTCCGGAGAAGGGCGGCATATAAATTGAACCAATAAATAATAAATAAATAAATAAATAAACAAACAAACAAACAAACAAACAAACAAATAAATAAATAAATAAATAAATAAATAAATAAATAAATGAGGCAGAAATTGGACAGGTGAAGTGGTTTTTGCCGGCACAGTCACGGGGGATGGGGTGGGATGGGGAATTCATCATAAAATCATTCCAGCTTCTTCCCTTGAAAATGCCCAAAATTGCCCTGTGATGTCTTATACTCTCTGTCTTATAGAAAATACATCATCAAAAGTAGACTTTGTAACATGGTGCTTTGCAGGTGCTGGACTACAAGACCTATTGCCCCCATCCAGCATGGTCATGCTGGAGGAATGATTTCTAGTCTACCGCATATGGAATCTACCAGGAAACAGGGGCTCACTAAGAGCCATGGCATGGTGGGAGGGGTCATCTGAGCTTTCAGATAATCAGGCATGGAGATGGATGCCAGACCTTATCTTAAGAAAGTTGGGGAGGGTGTTTGAGGGGAATTGGCTGGGAAGCGATAAAAGCAATTAGAGGAAGAGATTCAGGCCAAACCCTATATATGCCAAGGCGATGAAGACACTGAGTTGCCCTACTGTGTCAGAGGCTGTTGATAAGATCATGAATCTAAGAATAGTAGGGAGATGGTTATGTCTGGAATGTTCCCAGGAAGTCATTAATAAGGCTGGGGGGGTAAGAGGCTGTAATTGATGGGAAAGGGAGGGAAAGAGGTACAAAGAGAGAGAAAGAATGGGAAACATGGGTGGGGGGGAGGAGGAATGTTGAATGGAGACAGCCAGGCTCATGTATTTTATAAGAAGGATTTCCTGAACAGCCACTTCTAATGAATGAAGCAGGGATAGTTCTGATTTCTTGTTGCTCAGAAGGTGACAGTCCTGGCAGTTCTGTAGTAGAGCTGTGAATAGCTAAGAGACTCAACTATAAGCCTTGACATTGTTAACATCAAAACTTGCCTCTAGCATTGCTGGTACTTCTGATTGTACCAATGACATCAGGGGAATGTTATTGACTATATCTAGAACCATTTCCTAACTTGGCAATTTTAAGATGCGTAGACTTCAACTCCCAGAATTCTAGAATAATTACAGGACATGATCTAGAATAATTACAGGACATTTATACTACGTGAAATAACTAATTAAGCAGATTATCTGGATCCTTTTCAGTCAAGGTTCAGACCTTGGGGGTGGATAGAGGGGGTGGAAATGGTACTGGTTGTGCTTTTGGATGATCTCTGGCATGGGCAACGTGGTGGCAATGCATTTATCCTTGCCTTAGGATAAGGCAAGCCAAACCTGTTGGCTTTCCATACTGTAGGAAGTTAGCACCCACCCCTTTCCTGGAAGAGTGAAATAGTTTAGGAAATATGAAAAAGGCAGAATATTATATTTCCCTGGATGAGAAATGGAAAAGCATATTTTACAGACAAATCAGCTCCCACCTTCCTTCCCCCCACCCTTTGTCAATGGGCCATTAAGGCTTGGGCCAGTCTATTCTACATAACAAAGATCTACCTCCTTCAGGCAGAGCCATAGTAGGAATTGCCAAAGATCCAACAAAGATAGGATTAGCCCTCTACACAATAGCAGAAACTCACCACATGTGACCTGGGAAGCACATGTGACCATCAGCCAGCAAGACCCCCACCCCCTGGGAGTCTGATAACCAATCAGAGTACTCTTTCTGGGCCCCAAGAAATGCAGAGCCAGAGAGAGCATAAAAACCTGAGGATTTACTGTATCTGCCCCTTTTCTGTTCAGGAACTCAAGCCATGTGATCCTGTCCACCATTAAACCATCTTTCCAAGCAGTCTCAATGTTTCCAGTGTCTTTTTCCCCACTTGGAGCAGAACCTAGAAGGAGATTTCTTCCAACAATACTATTGATCATATTATCCTTCTGGACTGACTCAGAAGAACGGGGATAGGTGGCACAGTATTGTGCTGGTTCACCTCCTTTATATAGGGTTGGTTCCAGTTGGTGATGATTGGGGAGGAGAGATCTCACTTTCAGCCCATGATATGTGGGGTGCCACATGGGTCAGTGGTCTTCCCTCTTCTATTTAATATCTATCTGAGACCACTGGATGAGCTCATGCATCACCATGGGGTGAGGTATCATGAATATGCTGACGATACCCAATTGTACATCTCCATCCCTGGCCAATCAAGCAATGCTATGGATGTCCTATCCAGCGTCTGGAGTCTGTGAGGGTCTGGATGGGGAACAAAAGGCTTCAACCAAACCCTAAGTGGCTTTGGATTTTGAGCCCCTCTGGTTCTGGGACTTAACCATGTTTGGTACTAGATGAGTTTGCACTGCCCCGAAACAGATCCTGTTTGGGGATTCTCAAATTTCTGGAGGCAAGTTGTTCTACTGATTAATTGTTCTAACTCAGAAAATTTCTCAGTCTGGAAATTTAACCAATACAATTTTTTTATTAAAGAGAAAAGCAACTTTACGTTTTTCATACTCAACTACAATAATGTAACATGACATGGTAATTATGGAAACTTGCCTAAAAAGCATGATGTCTGTGATTGTATCGAACTAATGATTTGAGTCATACCAATGAGGCAAACTGGATTAAAGTGCTGGGAGAGTGGGTTATTTTTAAACTTTCCCCCATTTCATTTTCTGGATTTGAATTTCTCTGGACAAATGTTATTATTGGTTTCAACAAGGCAGTAATTTAAATGTGAGAAGTAGCATGGATGAAAGTTTCCAGTTTTTAAAAAAGTCCTTTTCTATATTTCACTTTAGTTGCTTTTAAGAAGTAGAAAAAAAATAAATAGAAATTATCGCTTTGGGAATTTTCATAGCAAATCTGCCTTGACCATGTGACTACACATTTCATGGGATCATGGTATATTACAGTACTAGAAATTGAACAAGAAAAGCAAGGATTTCATTCTTTAGCATCAATTCATTTCTACAATATGCAGAACTTTCAGATTAAATACAAAGTATCTCTTGTTAAAAGCCACAGGTAACAGTCTTTTCTATTGAGTATCCTCTGATCAGGGGTGTCAAACTCACGGCCCACAGGCCGGATGTGTCATGTGCTGGCCACGCCCACCCGGTTTAGTGAAGGGGAAAGGTCACAATACGTCATGTGACAGCAATGTGACACCGCGAGTTTGACACCCCTGCTTTAGATGTTTTTGACTACAACTAACAGTGATAACTATGGAGAAGATTACTTTGATTAATGCTTCAATATATACTTTCCTGCATTCCTAAATTTGTACATCAGATGGATAATGTATTGCCTTTATTATTTGAAAACAAGCATTCCCCAATCTTAACCTTAACTTTCATTCTCCTCCTTTTCTACCTCTTCTTTTTCTTCCACATTTTCTTATTTTTAGCCCAGATACATTCAGAATATTTAACCTTGAAGTCCCAAAAAGAAATAATATTCTAGACAAGATTGAACGTACACCAAAGAAAGAAGAAAGATACTTATTGGAATGGCGCAATAATCCTCAACCACAACATGCAAAGCTACTTAAAATGCATACCAAGTTTATAAATGAGCCAGTATTATATATGGAAACAGAGGACACAAAAACAAAACAGGTGCTCACTGTTTAACTATTATAAAATGAAATTGAAGCCAACTCATACAAATGATACCAGGCAAAATCTGGACTCCAGCACACATACCCTTCAATGCTTCAGCGTAGTTGTAAGAACACATTTGAAATTTAACCCTAGTTAAATTAGGATTTGTGAAAGTAGCCTGTGCTGATTCTAAATTGTTTTAGTTTTTTAAGTTTTCAGTTAATTAAATTGTATTCTCTTTTAAATTTCTCAATTCAAAGCAATGTACACAATGCTTCTTTCTCCTATTTCCCCACAACAATCCAGTGAGGTGGGTTGGGATGAGAGAGAGCGAGAGCAACTGACTCAAAGTTACTCAGCACCTTTGCACGCCTAAGGGAGGAGCAGACTTCACAGTTTCCCAGTTTCTAATAATTTTAACTTAGTTTAAAAATGAAAAAAAAAAAGTCTTATCTCTTTCTGTGATGGGAGCTGGAAGGGGAGAACACTTGAGCCTGTACTGGTAAAGTAATCTTTAGAATTGTCCCCAAACCTGGCTTAGATAATTGACATAATAGCTTCTCCCTAGGGAATCTCAATTCTTGTTTCTCTATAACTGTGATATTGATGAACTCATTTCTTTTTATTGTTTGTGAAGTCTCATTGGTGGCCGACCTTTGAGCCCACTGTACAACGTCCTAAACCACCTTATGACACGCAGAGCACTCACCGGAATGATTTCCAGAAGCCAAACTGTATTTTGTCTCGGCCTGTTAAACATCCCTCTAAGTTACAGCCTTCATATGGAATAGGTAAGTCTACAGTGATAGAAGGAGTGGACTCTACTGTTATCAAAAAAGACTGCTCTAATTTTACTATTATGAAAAGTAAAGAAAGCCTAACCCTGATATGATTAGAACCAAAAATGGCCAGCTAATATTTAGTACTGCTTGTTGGAGGTTTCTTTTTTCTGACAATTGCCAAACGTATTTGCTGTATCCTAGAGCAGTATATAAAACTAAATTCCCATAATCTAAACACCAATTGCACATTGTCCAAAATATTGTACTGTATAATCTTCCTCTGTTCCCATTTAGCCACTGTCACCTTTTCACAGGCGAAACATCTGTTTCCTTTATTATATATTATAAGGCTTATTTTGAACGATGTTGTTCAAATAAATTACTCTGTATGGTACTGGTAGTGATATCATTGAAACATATGCCAATTGAGTCTCAAGAGGCATTACTTTCTGAATGTACAAACATGCACCAAATAAAATAGAAAAACAATGTGCAAAGCATAACAAAGTTAATCTATATCTGTCCATAGATATGCTCATATCCTGCTTCCCAGAACCATTTGATTAACCACCAAAAGAATCAAATGCTGGATTAATTGGGATGCAAAGATGACCCAGTGTAGCTTTTACATTCTTATGATGCATTGAAGATCAAAATTCTTTCAGATTTGCAGTCCGCTGTAGGTTTACCGTGTTGCTTTTTATCCAATACAGAGCCATTTTGCCCTTTGCTGTGACTTTCTACCTGTAAAGCAAGTTCTCTACCACTGGACAATGGCATCTTTATACATTTCAGGCAGATTTCACAGCCTGTTTTAACTTCTTTGTTTCATCCATCTCTAAAGGCCATATATTTTGATATTGGGCTATAGATGGATGATGGTTAGTGGAATGGGGCAGGCAACCTTGCTAATAATATGCAATGGTCATAAACTATTCTTTTCTTGGAGGAAGAAATTCTAACCTTCCTTGCCAGAGAGTCAGCCCCATCATACATTACTTCCAAATATGGTGGCTTGCATTCCTTCATAACTCAAGGACAAGCAAAGCAAGATTAGGACAGTTGAAAAGAAGACAAGCCACAGAGGACTGAAACATAAAAACCAGAATGGCCTGCTTATGTTAAGACAATTCATAAAGACTCTGCTCTAAAAATGACCCTAAAGCAAGACTTATATGTCAACATTACAGTCTGCTCACAGGAAAAGGAGAGAAAGGAAATCAAAAATTCTTTTTATTCCATTCTCCAGAACAAAAGGGTGTTTAATTTCAATGAAAAGTGGCCACTTCCTGTCTGATCACTAGAATTTATCATACTTTCTGTTTTGTTGAAGTAGATGGGATACTATCATTATTTCATGGTGTAGACCAGGGATGTCAAACTTGATTTCATTGAAGGTTGCATCAGGGTTGTGTTTGATCTCGGGGCACTCGGGGGGGAGCATGGCTGGGGTGTGTGAGGCCAGGATGGGAGTGGCCAACTCAATGTCACTCGTGTAAGGGGCACCTCTGGTGACCAAGTGCTAAGGCATGACTTCCCTCAGACCCTCCCTCACATTATAAACTTCCTTCCTTCCTTCCTTCCTTCCTTCCTTCCTTCCTTCCTTCCTTCCTTCCTTCCTTCCTTCCTTCCTTCCTTCCTTCTTTTCCTGCCCTCTTCTTCTTCTTCTTCCTTCCCCTCTTTACTTATTTTTCCTTCCTCAGCCGCCCTGAGTCTTCGGAGAGGGGTAGCATATAAATTTAATTAATTTAATTTAATTTAATTAATTAAATTTTCTTTCCTTGCTCTCTTCCCATCTTCCCTTCCTTTTCTTTGTCTTTCCTCTTTCCCTTTCCCCTTTCCTGTCCCTTCTTGCATGTTCAAATGCAAAAGGGGAAACATTTCTCTTTTTGTTATGTTTTTACTTTGTTTTGCTAGCCCTCTGCCAATGAAAACGGAGCCCAAGGGGCCATGCGCTGGCCACGACAGCCTCTTGCAGTCTTCTGTCAGTAAAAATGGAGCTTCGGGGGAGCAGACGGTTGCAGGAGGCTGTCGCAGCCAAAAATGGGGCCCAAGGAGCCTCCTCAAGCACAGCACCCCTGACCTCTGTTTTCACTGGCAGAACACTGAAGAAGGCAGTTACGGCCCAAAACGGAGCCTGGGAGGCCCGCATGCAGCCCTCCAAGCTCCATTTTCACCGGCAGAGACACCATAGGCTGGTGTTTCCAGGGCAGCCCCACGGGCCAAATCTAAGCATCCTGTGGGCCTGATCTGGCCCGCAGGCCTTGAGTTTGACACCCCTGGTGTAGACATTCATTTCTGCTGACAATACCATAATGTTTCTACTGACTTTTGAAGTATTCTGAATGTAGCAAGATGCTTGGCCACAGCTTAGTGAAACAAAAAAAGAACCTGTATTGAAGATGCTGAACTTGATGAAACTTTTCCTTAATCGGCTAATCACAAAAAGATATCCTGTGTAAACAGTTATAGTTTGTTCTTTCAGATTGTATAGGATTTGAAAGTTAACCTGAAAGTACAAGTTAACATTTTGATCCTTATTTCGAGATCAACAAGAGCCCCAGCACAGCTATGATTTTTTTCATGGGCATTTTTACAAGGGATGAAAACCCAGGAACTGATTTAGCTTCACTCTTAAGCTAATCCCGATAACTCTGCTCTAAGACGTGTTGGAGCAGTATAGGAGGACAAATGTTACAAATTCTAAATAGTGTTAAATTTTGCCATTTTAAATGTATTTATTTAATGAATAAAAACTCATTTGACAATCCTAAAACAGTAAAGTAGATTCAAATGCTAAGCATGATGGATCCTGGCCACTGTTGGATGAATCATTCAGTGCCTGCCGACTGTGGAAATTCTTACAATGAAAATTAGGCTGAAGTTAGATCTTCCACTGATGCATCAAGTCCTTTTATGTTCATGTAATTAGCAAGAATGCATTCTCATTTAACAGAAATTTGTTTTATCTTTAATGAGAATTCCCCAATCTTTCTGTGACATCAATTAAATTTACTAAATGAGAGCACATACTTTTCTTAACTGAGTATTCTCATGAGTGGATAGTCTTTTGCCATGTACATTTATCACACATCATCAGTAAATTATGCTTAAACAGAAAAAATATGTTAATGGTTTAACTCTACATTAGAGAATCCATTTCAGAATGCTACTGGTACTTACTGCTTTAAAAATATGTGTAGAGCAAAACTTACATATTAAAAGAGCTTGGCTGCCTATTGTTTTGCTCAGAAATTGCTAGAATAAAATATTTCCCTCTGCATCTTCTCTCTATAGACTCATAATGCCTTCAGTTGATTTATTTTTAATAAGGTGGCTCCCATTGTTTGTTAACTTTTGTGTAAGCTCATGTAGTCATCAAGAGGTATGATGATTCAAATAGGACGTTTCCTTTACCTATTTTATGTACTTATATTGTAAAAGATAACTGCAGCAAATCTTATTACATCAATCTATTGGTGTGGGGAGCAGAGGAAGTTGATTAGGAACAGTGGTGGGTTCCTCCCGGTTTGGTCCGGTTCGACCGAGCCGGTAGCGGGGACGATATGACATCACCGAACCGGTTCTCCCCCCCCTCCCACCCCCCCACCCCCCACGTTATTCTTACCTTTTATTTGGTCCCACCCCCAATCTACTGCTGCCTCCTGAGTCCCAGCTGATGACTAGAGGGAAAAAAACTGTTTAAACTCTTGCCGCAGGGCTTCAAAGGGCCGTCCTACAGCTGATCAGTGTTAAAAGAAAACAAATGAGTCGGGTCGTAAATGCGAGGACTGGTCGTAAGTGCGAGGACCTTCCAGAAATGACTCTGACCAGCTAGCCACGCCCACCTAGTCACATGACCTCCAAGCCACACCCACAAAATAAGCCCACAGAACCGGTAGTAAAAAAATTTAGAACCCACCCCTAATTAGGAAGGATGCAATTAGGAAGGATGACCTCTCTAGTTGTTGGATTTCTGGGTAGAGCTGATGGAACGACTGGAAGACAATCATAATACGACTTAAGCATGAATATACAATATGTAAATAAACTAACTATATATTCTGCCTAAGAAGACTTTTGCCGCCACCCCCTTCCCCAGTGATTCCTCTACTAGTTCTTTGCTGTTGATGGAGAAATTTTGAGATAGAGAGATAATTTCGTATAGATGCATATTCTTTGCCAGGAAATATCTGGAACAGGAAACACTGGAGGTTTTTAAGAAGATGTTGGATAACCATTTGTCTGAAGTGGTGTAGGGTTTCCTGCCTAAGCAGGAAATAACTCTATTCTATTCTATTCCATTCTATTCCATTCCATTCCATTCCATTCCATTCCATTCCATTCCATTCCATTCCATTCTATTCTATTCTATTCTATCTCAAGCATAGTCTGGAATTCCCGTTTACAAAGGACCTGAAGTGGCAGAGTTAGCAAAAGACTTTAGAACCAATTTTGGAAATTATGGCCAATCAGAACTGGGAATACTGTGATAAACAAAATAACAAATTTATAGTATATTCAGTATTTTATCACTTCCTTGGTTAGTAATCAAATATGGCATCCATTTCACTTACAGTAATAAAATAAAATACTAAAACAAAGCTGAACAACAGTTGAAAGAAAACTACAAAGAAAGTGTAAAGAAAAAATTATGCTGCCAAAAACTGGAGCAGAGAAGTAACAGAGTTGACATCTAAAGGATAGTAAAATGAATGTGTAATGGACTGCCTCATTGTAAAACAGCTTTATAAATTTATTATACAACTCTTTTCCATCAACCTAGCTTTAAGCGTATAAACTAAGACCTTTGCAATTTCATCATAAATAGAAAACAGCATCAGTTTCCCAAAAATTGTACGTTGGGATTTATTTACCTGCTTTATGCATGTATTTTAAATCATCAGTAGCTGCTATTTTTTTTTCAAGCACAACATAATAATTAATTAAATTTAAGGCAGAAATAAAAATGTACCCAGGCCTTCTAAAATGCTAACTAGGAGAGACCATGCATGTTTCTCTGGGAAAAGACTTCACTATACGCCACTTGTATGTACATACTATACCTGTACTCCACTCTTTGTCTAAGGAGCCCAGACCTCACAACAACCCTGGGCTACAGAACAGGTTAAATTAGCATCATAACTCAGAAGTGGGTTTACAGTATCTGTCATGTGCGTTTGTATTTGTGTATATATGAGACAGAGAGAATGAGAGAGAGGGCAAATATTCACTCTTGAACAATTTCCTCCTCTGAATGGTACCTAAATATCATAAGTAGGAAGAAATGGTAGGCTAAACATGCAGGTGGGAGAAGATTATACTGCATTAGCTCGTTCAAAACACAAAGAGTTGCTTGCAATGACATTGCAGGACACTTTGTCCTATCTAATCTGGCTTTGAGAGGCAATTGTTTAGGATATACTGCAAGTTCCATAGCAGAAAGAGAATTCTGAATGTGGGACTTCATAAATCCCTCCTTCTTTTCACTACTGTTCAGGTAGTCCTTGACTTACAGCCACAGCCCAAAATGTCCATTGCGAAGCAAGACAGTTGTTAAGTGAATCCTGCCCCATTTTATGAACTGTCTTGCCACAGTTGTTAAAAGAATCACTGCAGTTATATTAGTAACATGGCTGTTAAGTGAATCTGGTTTCTTCATTGACTTTGCTTGTCAGAAGGTTGCAAAAATTCACACAACCCTGTTTCACTGCAACCATCACAACTACATGCCAGTTGCAAGCTTCTGGATTTTGAGCACATGACCACAGGATGCTGTAACTGTCATAAGTGTATCAACTGTAAGTCATACTGTAAGCCATTGTAACTATGTCATATTGTAAGTCACTGTAATTGTAAGTCAGTCATTGTAACTGTAAGTCACTGTAACTGTAAGTCACTGTAACTGTAAGTCATACTGTAAGTCACTTTTTTCAGTGCTGTTGTAACTTTAAACAGCCACTAAATAAATGCTTGTAAGGTGAGGCTACCTGTACTAACTTTATTCTGTTGTGTATGATTGAGGCATCTGATATATGTTATTGCACATTTATTGAAAAGTATATGATATGTTTAATTGCCACCATATATGTGAGGGTTTTTTTCTGTTGTGGTTGTTATTTTAATCACAGTTCCACTTGCATCTCCTCAACTGCCGAGTCGCCTTCCGAGAATTTTCCAAGAGCAGCTCACTTTCAATTGTAGCTATAATGCCAGAGAAACTCCCTGCATCCCCTTTCAAGGAAAGGTAAAGCAATGTGCATCCTGTGCTATTCGCATTAATCAGGAAGCCAGAAGGTTGTGTTTATTCCAAAGTCTCCAATACATTGTTTGAGCTCAAGGGAATGTTGTCACTCATGTTAAGGTTGCTGGACATTTGTAATTAGTATACCTGATGTCTCGGTGGCCCCATGATTTTAGAAAGAAGTACCAAGCACTGAGATTGCTGTACTGCGATTTCATTGCCTTAACCAAGTTCCTTGGGCAAAACAGCAACAAACAAAAGAGAGGGAGTTGCTAATACTGGGAGACAACAATCAATTCTATTATGCAAGTCTCCACCCTTGTTTTCTTTCCTTCAAAAGCATCACCAATTCCTCTTGAAGCATACAATAATCATACAATAACTGACCTGAATCACATCATATTACAGAAAGGCCTTAACGCTGCATTTACCTGAAACATGCCTCAGTGAATTTAGTAGAACTGTGCTGAACTAGACTGTCATCCCCAATTCCAAACTTTTTTAAAAAAAATTTCAAGGCAAACAAAAGCAACTTCCAAAATGTTGTAATAACTTTACCTTTCAGCTAAAGAGAAATAAATCTTTACTTACAAAACAGTTAAATCTAAAAATTTCCAGTTGCATGAAAAAAACATGCTTTAATTTTAAAACATAATACCAACAAAATTGTTTTTTATATTCAGTTTTATGACTTTTAAAGCAAATGTATTACCTTTTAAAATCTAATTTCTGATAATTTCTTAGGATATATTATAAAAATGTCCTTGATTTTTTAAATAGCCATTAAAAAACAATAGCGGTGCCTAAATCTGAGTCTCACACCTAAAAACTGCAGCCTTTAAAAGCCAGGCTCAGTCAACTCTGCATAGTTCTAACCTGGCTTTTTTTCTCCCACTGATTTTACTGAAGTGTGACAGAAAGCTGAAAACTAAATTGTGGAATGTGCTTCTGGGTACCTACAATATTTAACATTGAGGTATGATACAAATACAAACCATAGATTAGGAGGTTGAATGCTAGGTACTATTTCAAAAACTAAGGTAAAAAAGAAATAGATGAGAAAGAAATCAAGTCTTACCTGAAGGAAAGATCACGGAGATTCAAACAAACTGAAGAAAATAGGGCCAACAATCAATTAAGTGAATCAGAAGATTAATATTCAAACCAATCAACTTTTAAATATTTTTTTTATCTGAGGCAATCTATGAGAAGCTGAATACAATTTCTTTTATTAAGTTTTTTTTTCTATTTTCTTTTCCTTTTTTTTTAAAAAAATAATCCTATTGTTCTCCTGTGACTGTAATGGTCAAAGTCATTTGGGAACCAGTCATAAATTTTTCCTAGTGCAAAAGCAAACAGTTTAGAATTGTATCCATATGGACATAGCAAAAAATGAAATTTAGTGCCCAACAAAAATAAGAAGTAAGCCACACATGCTGTGAGCAAGAGAACCCTGGAACTGAGGAGAAGGGAAGTCCAATCTGGGAGGTGCATTTTTCTTTTCATATGTTGTTTTACCCTTCGCGGATTTTGTAGTTCCAAAGATGTGATGGCTCAAATCATTCTTCTGCTGAGAAAAATGTAGGTTGCGAACCAGAGGAGACAAGAAGGATATTGTTCCAAAATGTGAATTTATAAATTAATTCTGCTTGTAGTTGTACCTCCCCACTTAAGTTCCCCCAGTTAATATCTATATTATTATTATTTTGTTTTAGAAACAGGGCACAATTGTTCTGACAGAGAAAAAACCAGACAGGAAGATAATGCCTTCTATTCAGGGGCCAGACTTACTGGAGGACCTCAAATCAGAAAAAGGAGCCCCCGTAGAAAATGGTGTAACCTCAGTCCACGTTGATTCATTCGATGCCCAGAAGTCATCACCACATTCTGATGCACACTTATCAAAACCAGCAATGAATTTGGAAACCAAGGCAGACCCCAGAACTCCAGAAATGGACCAGGAGAGTTTGGAGCTTCCTCAAACTGACAAAGTGAATGATACTTTTAGCCCATCGAAAACAATTTCCCCTAGTAAACCAGAGAGCCTGTTACCTCCTCTTTCTGAAGCTGCACCATCAATACCTGACACTCAAGTAGTCTAGAATTGTCTGGATGACAACAGTCTGCCTGGTATTATTTCAATATCACTAAACACAGATTGACATCAGCAAACTGTTCAAAAGAATAATTGTAACGCAGTATGTTTTTATAACTATATAAACTAGATGTCCATAAAATGCCCTATGAATCTTTTACTTTCTTCCACTAATGCAATTATTATGGTTTGTTGCTTAGTCAGCCAAGTGTTTAGATAGGATTTGGCATTTTTAGCCACCTATCAAGTCTTTTTACTATTAAAACTGTCTTTGTTTCTTTTGCCACAGTAGTTCTATTTGTTTGCAGGTCTTTGTACTTTGTGATTTTCTCCAGTTCTTTCGCCAGGTAAAGTACTGCGATGTAATAATAGCACTTAGACTTATATACCACTTCACAGTGTTTTACAGCCATCTCTAAGCAGTTTTCAGGGTCAACATATTGTCCCTAACAAGCTGGGTCCTCATTTTACTGACCTCGGAAGGATGGAAGGCTGAGTCAACCTTGAGCCTGGTGAGATTCGAAGTGCCAAACTGCTGGCAATTGGCAGTCAGCAGAAGTAGCCTGCAGTACTGCAATCTAACCACAGCGCCACCACAGCTCTTATATGGCTTACAGTATATGGCCATATGAATATGGCTCTCTGTATCATATCCGCTATCCAGACTTCTTTGTTTTTCTTATCAACAATTGTTAAGAGTGTGGTGTTATGCATACACGTGTGGAAAATGATTTTCTGGAAAGACTAATATCTAATTAAGAATACCAGTTCTGACTCCATTAACCACTAATAATGTACCAAGTATGAAAAAAATCCTGATATTTTCCATATTTCGCCATAGCATTCTGATTGTTTAGTAAGATGTTGCATGTTAGGAATCCATCTGATGTTTGTAAAGCGCATATCCTTAAAAAAATGCAAGGCTATTATATTTTGGTGCAAGAAATATGATTTTCAGATGCTTGATGGCGTCATTCTGTGATTAATAGAAGCAACTGCTATTTTGGTAGGAAATGTGACAGCTAAAGTTCACAAGAATGTAAACTGTGTTCCATTGTTCAGTGAAGCCAGGAAGAACACCTCTATAACAACCTTTACATTTGCTAAAATATTTTCCTGAACTGGATTTGATCTCGTTACAGCTGCAGACTAGTTTTAAAAATATTTATAGATTTATCCCAGTCATTACCTTACTACCGTATCATGCCATATACAGCATATAACACTTTTAGCAATGTTTGCAAAAAACTTTCCGGTGGTCTTTTTAGGAGGGTTTTAAAAAGATCTGTCTGGAATCAGATAAAATTATATTACATTAACAGTGATCAGACAAATTCTTTGTAAAAGTTTATAAATAATCTATAAAAATAATGCCTTTCATTTGTTCACGCACACTATTAGAAATTCAGAGATTTAGGACCTCTACTGCCCATTATAAGAGCCGTGGTGGCGCAGTGGTTAAAATGCAGTACTGCAGGCTACTTCTGCTGACTGCTGGCTACCAGCAGTTCAGCAGTTCAAGTCTTACCGGCTCAAGGTTGACTCGGCCTTCCATCCTTTTAAGGTCGGTAAAATGAGGACCCAGATTGTTGGGGGTAAAACACTTTAGAGAGGGCTGTAAAGCACTGTGAAGCAGTATATAAGTCTAAGTGCTATTGCTATTGCTATTATGCTACATGTATACTCTGTATGTATTTGTCTCTTTTACAAAACTGCTTATGTTATGTTATGCATAATATATGGATGTACTGTTTATATATCCATACAGGGAAGAAAAGGTGCTTTGATCACTTTTATCATCTCCAATGTATGATTGATATACTTGATAAGAGTTAATCCAAATCTTAATCCAAACACAGTATTTGCCTGCATAAAAATATCATATACCGGTAGTTATATTTGTGCTTGGTAGTATTTTCCATAATTGCAGAAGCTGAGTAAGGAATGGAATCAGGTATCTTTGAAAATCCAGAGTACACTATAATTAAAATAAGTTGGCCAAGGTTAAGCATACATAAATTTAAAAAAAAAATCTTGTACTATCTACTACAAATCAGAAGTCTTTTCAGGAAAGAATTCAGTAGCTTGATCCAACAGGTATCCTCCCATGTATTTTTAATTACAAATGAGCCTTCAACTATTTTTAATAAGAAATGGGTGGGGGTGATTTGTCTTCATGTGATAATATAGGAAGAAGATGTAGCTTTGTACTAATTTTGTGTTACTTAATTTTGTATTACTTATTTATGTATTTTCACTCATTTTAAAATCTGGAGAACAGCAAAAATCACCCAAGACTCAGTAGCACTATGGAGCCTTGCTTGTCTTGTTGCCAACCCTCCCTCCTGATAAGTTATTAGCACAGGGTGCTTTGACAGCAATGTCACCTCACAAAGCTATCTCCTTCAGACAAAGACAGACGGCAGCTGTTTAGAATAACAGGAATATTGACCACTCCCTATGACACAGTTCTAAAGATTATCTGAGTTATCTGAGTTAGTAAAAACTATTTGTGGCAGAAGACACATAACACATCCTGATGCAGCTCTAAATGCCATATGTCATTTCTTCCCTTTGGTTTCCTCATCACAGGAACACATTTGAAGGCCAACGGGGTTTTCTGTGGAGGTAAGAATACTCCCTGTTCACAAAGCAAAATTCCACTCAGGGGAACAAAGATCTATAGTAGCCAAATCCAAACTAAGACCTGAATGTGAAAGAGCTGTTTGAGTATTTGCAGATTCCATCCTGAATTTTCACTGATAGGGTTTTGCTTTCTCCCATGCTGGGAGATCGGATGAAGCTGCCAGGCCTTTACCAGAAAGAAACAAGTGACTAGGTCACTAACTGTCCCAGAGGATAATGCAAATGAGCAGTTCAATATATATAATATTGTTAATAATAATAGCAGTATATCAGTAAATCAATCAGTTCAGAAAAGAGTCATACGATTACACTAGTCATTTGCTTCAAAGCATCATTGAAGGTGAATCTGCTTTTGAAAAAGCAGGAAAAAGAGAGCTATGTGAACTTTTCAGAAAAAGGCATTTTCAGACACCAGACTACAACCAAGAATACTTTGCTTTTAGTAGAATTAACTCTATCTCCATCTGAAGTGGGACCTCACCTGTAGATCAGAGTTCATACAGATTCACATATTAATGAATTCATTTAATGGTCTTGCATTCTTCAATCGTGCTTTTATTCAACAGGGAGTAGACATTTGTTTATGGCATATAAATCCCAAGTTTCCTTGAAGCCTTTGCAATAGTTTTTTTTTTTTTTTTTAAATTTGATTTATATGCCGCCCTTCTCCGGAGACTCAGGACGGCTTACAATGCGTTAAGCAATAGCCTTCATACTTTTGTATATTTATACAAAGTCAGCTTATTGCCCCCACAATCTGGGTCCTCATTTCACCTACCTTTGAAAGGATGGAAGGCTGAGTCAACCTTGAGCCTGGCAAGATTCGATCTTACTTTAATTGCAGACAGCTGATGTTAAATTACAGAGCTCTGTCTGTTGAGCTATCCAGGCTCCTGGATATAAATCCAAGAGCCAGAGGAATTACCTAGTTGCCCTATTCCCTATTCTATAGAGCTACAATATTGGAGATGACATAGAAACTGGGAAGAGGGGATACTTCAGAAAGCTCCTGATTTAATCCCCAATTATAGTAATGTGATATAGGAAGGATGGGAAGAATTTAGCCTGAAAAAATCCTAATGTGACACAGGGCTAGAGTATGTGACCAACAGCGTGGCTCAGTATATCATATATAAACTGGAAGCAGGAGAACACTTTATATACTTGGAAATCTTTGACAGAGACTTCCCATCTGGATATCAGCCAGGTGTGTGGACTTTACTTCCCAGAATTCCTCAGCCAGGATGACTGTCACTCAGAATGCTAAAGTAATAGTACCAGTGGTGGGTTGCTACTGGTTCGTCCCGGATCGGACAAACCAGTAGCAGTGGCAGCGGGAGGCTCTGCCCATTCCCCCGGATGCTTCTGCGCATGTGCAGAAGTGTTGCGCGTGCACGCGCACAAGCGAACCAATAGCAAACTAAATTAAAACCCACTACTGAATAGTACTCACATTGGCTGGTTTCAGGGTTGGGTAACGTTATCTTGGTACTATGGGAGCAGGGATGCCATAGATTCTTCGGGCTGATAATTCCCTCAGCTTGCTGTCAGCCCACCCTCACCTTCTTAAAACTGATTGCTAATCCAAGTATATTATCAAACTTTGAGTAAGAATATCATCAGACATTCTCTTCCATCAATATCATCTCATAGTTTCAGGGGAGGGAGGGAGTAGCTGATGGGAAGGGGAGCCACAGAACAAGAGACCCCTTAGGCCAGAAGCAGCCTTACTATTAGTCTATGAGCAAACAGCTGCCTCGGTTTAATTTTGTGTAGCCCTTAGACTGGTTTTGAAAGACTTCTGCAAGTAATCAGTTCAGACTTTTGGCAGGAGCATTCTGTTCAAGCCTGCTGTGTGGTGTCAGAAAGTCAGTGTACAAAAAAAAAGAAAGAAAGAAAAGAAAAAAAAAACCCTCTAGAAAATTTCGAGTTCAAATGCATAGAGTGATTCAGAGGATTTTAAAGATTAACTTTCAGCTAAAACTACAACTTGTACTAAAACTGTAGCAAGATTATTTTATACACAAAGATGGAACAAGTTGGCAATGCCTACAACAGAGGAATGGTTCAAGATGATACAACTCAGAGAATTTGCCAAAGTGACCTGTTTCATTAGATAAAAGATAATATCTATGTTTAGTAGTGACTGGAAACCCTTTATGGACTCTTTGCTTTAAAAAACTTATGATTAATGTTTTGATGATTAAATGGATATAGAAAGAAGAGAGACAATGTAACTTTAGAGAAACAATTTATAATTGTACTTATAACTGCTATATAGGAGATTGGAAGCCCTTCTGTGTATTTTTTTCCTTTTATATTTTTCCTTTAACTCTTTTTGCACTTTCAGGTTTTCTCATTTTTATATTTTTTCACTCCATTTTACTTTATATTAGACTTATTCTTGTATTTAAAATTGTGAATAAAATTATATACAAAAAAAATAAAAATAAAGTCAGTGTACAAAAGGATGTCTGAAAATTTTAAAAATGAATAACC